GCAGCAGGAGAGAAACCCGTGCTGTCGTTAGACCTGTCGGTAGGATATACACCCAGAGGCTTATCAGCAGCAGACAGAGGGGCCTCCTGCTGCTCCTGCAAAGAAAAATGAGGGGGGCCCCACACCTGCTGCTGCGTTGCAGCTGCCTCTCCTTCCTCGTGCTGCAGGGTTGATAGGGGGGCCCTTTCAGGGTCTGGGTGGGGGGGGCCCACCTGCTGCAGCATCGAGAACAGAACCTGGGGGTGTTGTTCTTCTCAGCTGTACATACAGCTGACTGCAGACGGTGCAGAGAGGCGGTGTATAACAGCCGTCAAAGAAAAAAGCTGCAGCAGCAAAGGAAAGCTGCAGCAGCAAGGAAGAGCAGCAGCAGCAGGCAGGGGAGAGGAGAAGCTGTAGCGGAGCGTCGAGGTGCTGCTGCTGCGGAGCTTCAGCTCATATCCCTGTGTGTGTTGCAGTGTATAGACAGTAAAGTTTCTGAAATAAGTGGCAAAGATGCTTTAAACCAGAACAAACAACACGAAGAACTCATCTGCTGCAGATGAGAAAGCGGCAGGGGGATCGAGGCCCCTCTAATGCATGCACTAGCTCGCCTGTCTCGGGGCTGGTGCAGAGAGAAAAAAAGATACTACAAGCTAGAAAATATGTTAACTGCTTCGAATATACAGAGCAGCATGCCAGGGCCCCCAGGGGCCCCCGAGGTGACCCTGGAGCTGAGCTCGGCGGACGGTGAGAGGAAGAGCTTTAGGTGTTATCTCTGTGGCCTTGTGAGGCAAAACAACCAAAAGAAAGCAACTGCTTTGAACCGCTATCTTTAAAATTTTATACTGGTGATATTTCCACAGACGGAGAAGGAGAGATAGGAGAAGAAAGAGCATTCGTTTGTTGCTGTTGCTGCGTGGTTACGGGTAGCAACAACAACCAGGCGATGCACTTGGAGGCCGCCCAGGTCCTTACACAACGAAACCTGCTTTGTTCCTTCAAATAAAACAGAAAAATCACCAATTAAAGTTTCTGATCAAAGGCAAACAACACAGGGGGCCCCAGGGAGACGCATGCACGTCGCCGTGTGCAGGTGCAAGGCGGACCAGTGAGCCAGAGAAACATGAAACCCCAGAAGATCATCTTCTCGTATTTTCGGGTGCATAACCATCTGAAATCCTTTTCAAAATATAAAACCAGGAGAATTTATTTTTCTATTTTTTAACGCTTTGTGCGTTTCTGCACAGAGTGAGTGCGGCGGAGGAACCAGCGCCTGCAGGTGAGCATGAAAGCGGCAAGTGGATGATCTCTAGCAATCGATTCAGAAAGAATTTCATTTTTATTTATTTAAAAAAATAAATATTTTCATTTGAACAGATGTTTGTAATCCCAACGCCAGCAGCCTTTCTTGAATGCTTCCGGCACCGCAGCTTGCAATTCAAGTTTCTTCACAGCTGCGATCTTCATTTGATTCCTCTATGTTTATTGAAAAAAAGAATTAAAATGTTTTCTCTTTTTAATAAATATTATTGCGGCAGATCCTCATTTAAAAAGGTGTTTATGTAGCCTGAAAACAACTGAAATGCAGAAACTTGAATTTCAGCATCGCAGCAGAATCTGAATACCTGTTCAACTTATTCAGATTCTGGCGCCGAGGTTTCGCGGAGGGTTTGTTGCAGATCAGTGAGGAATTCCACTTCTTGCTGTTGCTGAATAAAAGAAAAATTAAATTATTTGAAATGGTAAATACAATTACAACTACTAACAATATTTAATTGCTTTTGTTGCACTTTCAGTCGCCTTGAAACACAGAAAAGAGGAATGGCGGGAGAGGGGGGAAGTTCATTTCAGGATCATGAACACAGCGCGAATGCACGTGTTTTTCTTTAATTATTTATTTCTTTTTTTTTTGTTTTTTCTTACATTGCCCATCATAGTCTGAAAGAATTCACGTTTCCTATGCATCGCATCCTCGACCTCTCGCTGCCTTTGTCTCTCTTGCTGCAAAAGCAACGACATTTCCGTCTCCACCCCATTGGGGAGTTTCGCTTCATCTGTCGGGAAAGCAAAGAAACCTCTCGCGTTTCAGAGTTGTGGTTTACGTGGTTTATTGAACAACAACATACCTAGGTGTACGTTGATGATAGGATACGGCGGGGGCGTCTAAAAAGAAAGCAAGAAATTTGTAATTTTATCATGGATTCATCGCATATATTTATATTTCTGGTTTGTTCAAGTCCTACTTTGTCGCGATCCAGTCGTGCACGGCTCTGAGAGAAACGGAAAGGCTGCACGGATAGAGCGAGAGGAAACAAGAACAGAATGCCAACTGTAGTGATCAGGGGGCACCAAAAAACCATATTGCCGCTGAAACACAAGCATAAACTCTTTTAATTTGAAAACAAAGCGAGAACGAACGAAAAAAAAAACCCAAGGAATGCTAGAAAGCAGGACCTGCCTATACACCCCAAACGAGCGCGCTCTATCCACCGCTAAAACAAACGCCTAAACTACATGCAAATCGGGCTGTTTATCGTTAACTGATCTATTTTATACAGGTATTTCTGAAATGGGGAAAAGGATTTACTGTAGAGAATGCAGAAACTCAGGGGCCACAAATATAAGCTGCACTGCGGGTCCTCAATCATCTTTGTGCGTTTCAAAGGAATCAAATGCCTCTTTCAGAAAATACAATTAAGAAAAGCAACTTTAACCAATACCCCTCAAAGCTGCATGCTTTTTTTCTAGGCAAACAGCGAGGAAAAGGCCTGGGGCTGAAGCTCGATACAGAGAGAAGAGAAAGAAAGCGACAGATTTTGTGGTGGTGCTGCAGCAGTCCTTGCTGCTGCAACTCCTGTAGCAGTGCAACAACCCCGCATGCAAGCGTAGCCAGATTCAACAAGCCAAGCCACGTTTGACTCTCGTACAAACATAAAAAAAGATAATATATAAACAGAATTTATTTGCTGCATTCTATAGCCGACATGCACGCAACTAGAAATACATAAAACACCCACAGAGAAAGCTTGCATGATGCAGCTGCACACGACGCGGGGAGTTTCCCCCTGAAAAGAGTCGAAGATGACACGAGAGTGTATCAATTGAAGTAGAGTAAATGATGAGTTTTAGTTTTTAATAAATAAATTTATGTTTTTCTGTATTTCATGCAATACGCCCACAACGGTCCGTTACCCTCTCCACCGCGGCACGCCGCGAGGATATCTGTGTAGGATTCCCCCGGGAATACTGCATATTTTCTTTTTATTTTTCAATAAAACACTTTTGAAAAACAAAATAAGAAAAATATAAACTCAG